GGCAAATTTTACATATAAATTGTATATAATACTGAGATATATTTGTTACAAAAACCATCAATATGAATTATTAGCTTTCGAACCTTACCTGCTCTTCCGTCTGATCAAGAGCGGGCACATTTTGGATTGAGTTCAATAGTGATCCAATACCAGCCATTAATGCTGTAACGACTAAAAAAAAACTGACTAACAGCAGCATAATTGTTGTAGCACGGAAACTTTGATCCAACTGGTCTCGCTTTTCTACAGGAGATATAGAACTGTGGTTCTGTTTGAAAAGGGTCCTTTTTGCTGAAATAGTGGTCACCGCTCGTCGGCTTTTTTGATCTCCTTGTAGTAGTTCATTCTTTGCATAAGTAGTGTGATGAAAGTCAAAACTATGCTTCTTCATCGGTTGGCTGTTGATGGAATTTCCTGATTCCAAGCCACATTTCATTGTCTGCACAGTGGCTCTGAACTGGGAAGTAGATTGATGTGAGGAATTATCTTTTTCGCTAACTGGTAATAATGCATTAATTTCTACTTCCCTTCTGACTTCCTGCTTCAAAACCTGGCTTCTTGGTTTCCGACGAAAGTAGTAACAAAAATTGGCCACTACCCTATTCGATGTCTCAGTTTGCTTCATTAATATTCTGGAAGACACTGATTTCTCATTCGTTTCGCAAGACGAAGGTGAATGGAAGGAGTTGAAAGTAGAAGGAGTAGAAAATTGGCCTGCCATCTCTGCAATATGTCGTGAAGACTGATGAATGCGAGCCATTTCTCGAATAACGAGACAGTTGAAAATCAAAACCAAACTTGGTACCAAGGCAGAGAAAATGACCTCTAGAGCAGTAACATAATATGCGAAGCCAACTGATTGATCAAGATTGCAGGAAGCCTCTGCATAATTGTTGGTGATAAAGACTGCATTACCCAATGTGCATGCAACTGTGAAGATGAGAATGCCGAGGCAGAGGTAAACGGCTCGACGAGGGGAGCAAATTCGGTCAACAGAAAAGGGATAGCAAATGGCCAGCCATCGTTCAATTGTGAAGCCTAGCACCAAATTACCTGAAGTGTACTGATGTGCGGATGAAAGAGTATACTCTAATTGACAGGCACCAGGAAACATGATTTTTTCAACGCCCCAGTTTCTAGTCAAATCTCGACTTAAGGCAAATGCAAGCACAACAAAGTCGTTCAATGATAAAGCAGCCAGATATATTGCGGCAGAGTTTCCACGGTACATACGCTTGTTGATCCAGGCAAAAAAGGAGATCAGATTACCTGGAAAGCCGAGTACATACCATATTAGTGTAATATAGCGGTCAGTGCTGAGTACACTAGGCATAAAATCGGCTGCAAACAAGTTCCAAGAATTGTAGCGTTGGGATAATAGAAGGTCTTTTGCGCTAGAATTGTTTTTTGTCTGCGGCATTTGGCTTTCCGATGTAATTTCCATATCTTCAGGAATGGTTCTCAAGTTCTCTTTCATCGCCATATTTGGTTGATCTTTTCTTAGTGAAGAAAGAATATAGTTCACTTGAGGTTCTTGGGTTTCATTTGATTCAAATAGCCTCTCATTCTCATAACTCATGCTGTTTGATGCTCGTAAAGTGAAAACAATGAGAAGGCCGATTAAGATGATTTGACGATGTACAATAGGCTTCATACAGCAACTTCTATTTGGTTCAGAATTGGATTGGATGTTCATCATGGAAGGTGATAAGTTGTAGTCTACTACATCTGTGATGTAGTTGACAATCCTTTATGATGAACTCCTAGAGGTCTCCTATTACGGACTTTGAGTATCCTCTGTGTATTATTTGATCATCCTGTAAGCAGTGAAAATGGCTTAGTTGACAATATGTTCTATTACTCACTAGCTAATTATGATGAGTTAAAAAAGGATCAATTCTGGATTTGCTGCTTGATCGCTAAAGATTTCTTATAACAAAGTAATTGTCATATTTATTTAAGCTATTTTAAAAAGGTTTATAATAAATTAACGTAAGTTTCTAATAATTTAGATTTAATTTGTTTACTCTAAAATGTTCACCGAAAAATCTAACCTGTAATAGTAAAAAGAAGTATGCAATGGCTAGTCTTCGAATACGAAATTTACAGGTAAAAGCCCCATTTATCAAATTGCTATTCAAAGCAATACAAAAGCTATTAATGTAGTTATCATTTATTATTAACGAGAATATTTTATGAATACAAGATTTTATTCTTCGTTTCCACACATTAAAAACTATATGCCCATCACACTCAACTATATAGGATAAGCAATGCAAAAAATTTGGTGTCTGATATTTAAACGAATTAATCTATGAAATTAATGGCTCTATCATGTAAATATTCTTTAATATATGAGCATCATATATGCTGAAAACACCACAGATTAGCAAAGATAAGGCAGACCTGAAATAATTGAAGAACTGCCCATCGTGTATGTTTATCATATGCATATATGTATAAACATATATTAATTAATAAACTTAATGAAAAGAAGCAAATCTATTACCAAGGCCTAGCTATTGAAATATCAAGGGCAATACGTTTACGATGCATTTTTTTATTGTAATAAAATCAGTTTAAATCAGGCTATGCAAAATATATTTGGAAAGTAACAATGCTTTATAATCGCTGATTTTTAAGTTTGAATGGCTAGAAAAAATTAATTTATCAATTATGAAATACAATAAAATAATCTTCCATACTTAGAGGTGACTGGTCTAATGGTTCTGTATAAATCTTTTGCTTTCTTGTTTATTTACTTTATTCATTTCCCATTAAAACTAAGTGATCGCTGAAAATATAAATAAAATCCCAAAATTGAACGAAATTCTGAGAAAAAAGAATGTTTTTTGACTAAGATTGTTATAGACGAATTTGCATAAACATACTCTTAATGCTATAAATATAATACAATAGCATCTGATACAAATATTATAGACTATTAAATGCAATTTTCAAAATAAAAGTGATAATATTACTATACTTGGATCTAAGTGCAAATTAAAAGAATAATGGAATCAATGTACTTTACTATTTTCTTTAACTATTTGTAGCTTAATGCATATATCTTATATAGCCCATTATAGAAATGAAAAACCCTTTCTATTTTATCTTATTGGGTGATAAATAAAGAATTTATAGTTAAGCCCTATTAGGCACTCATAATAATCCAATTTTGCTCTAGTAATATATTTGGTATTTTTTTAATTTTTTTTATGCACTAAAATTCCACAAAAAGGTTACCTAGACATATATTTGCTTCTTAAGTATTAAAATTTGTAATCATTTGATTATTATCAGAATCTTATTGAAAAAAATTCCGGTTTACTTATTCTAGCGAAAGATTAACCAACAATTTATATCCCGAGATATTTACACGTATTTCCATTTATGAGTAAAGAAAATCCACTTTATTTACCAGTGAATAAAGTTGTTGTAAATGAAATTCTATATTAAATTAAATTAAAAAGATGCTGGAACGGTATTGATTTTATCTAAGCGTACTTCAAATCAGATCAAAATATTAATTGATTAAAATACTCATTTGGAAATATTTAGAATCTTCAATGAAAAATGTAGTCATTTTCCTGAATAAAAAAAGGATTTTTAAAACAATGTTCTTTCAATAAGACCCTAAAATAGGTTTAATTTAAAACTTAGAGAAAAGTAGGTAAAAGTCTTTACTTAAAAACTGACGCTAATAATGCCACTTAAATTGCTATTTTGATTCAGTACTATTAAGCTTATTTTTAATTTAATGTGATTCAGATGCTTGTTCAGTGTTTATGGTAAAAAATCGATATTTATATAATTAAGTCATATCCCCTCCAGATTAAAAATTTTAAATTATACAAATTTGAATTGAATGATTATTCTTTATTACATGATTAAATAAGGAAATATGTCAAAGCTCGCATTATTTTATTTAATTTCTTATTTCATTTAATTATTTGATAATTCCAAACGAATTTTGAGCCATTATAAGTATAAGTATTTATATAGAGTTATGAAGGAACTATTGATTAAACTTTTATACAATTTATTTTTACCCTCACTATGCACAGTGGCCCTTTGTTTTAAGTTCCAATTTGACTTTTCTATACCGATTGAAATAATAATAAAAGTTTTTTTAAATTTAGTATTATTGAACACTTATTTTGTTTGGACATAATTAAAGAATATTTGAGGGGCTGGTTCATCGTCTTTTTATAATTAAAATACCAAATAGCAAAATAGAACGAATAGTCTTCAGATATATACGCAAGTATAACCACTTTACCCTTATATAGCTGCATTCTTACAGGCTCTACAGTTGTCATACTGATTGATATTCTCTGATTGGAGAGGATAATGTGTAAAAGTAGCTGTTAGGCCAAATCTCCTTGATTAAATAAATTTATTCATATATATAAAATGCATTACTTACTCAAAAGTTTGAATCAATAATTGTATATAAGTAATGGCTCATTTACACTCAAACCAGAACATGCTTGAAAAACATAAGGGATCTTGTAAGATAAAATGAATGAAATTATAGTAAACTCATTTTAATTAAATGTACCTCATATAATTTTCAAATTAGGGCTTTCTATTCGACATACCTAGTTAAGAATTTAAAGAGATTTAAAAATAGTCTTACCAGTTGTGATTAAAGAAATTATCATTATTTTTACTTCAAGACAAATTATTATATATATTCATTATAAATATTTTCATGTAATAAAATCTTTCTTCAATTTATATTAGTATATTGTACGAGGAAAACCCAAAACTCAACATTTGTATAATCTCCATTCGAGTCAAACAATAAAATAAAGATTAAGAGCATTTATTTAGAACCTCTAAAAAAAGTATTATGAAGTACAAATAGTATAAATAAATACGCTTTCTAAGCACCATAAATAATATATTTCTTGTGAGAATGAACGTGCTCACAATCCTGAAGGGATAAGCGCCTATAACTAATATAATAAACATATTTATTTAATAATTACAATGAAGATAAATATAGCCTTGGAGTAAAGGGCAGCATAATAGCTATATTATTGAAAGGTGGTTTATTGGAATTCAAAAGCTATTCAGAAATTCATGATATAGATTAAATGACTTCGACTTTTTCTCTGATTTATGATATCAGAGCCAATGTTTTGGACATCGAAACTAAATAATTTAGTTTCCCTAGAAATATTTTCCTGCATGAAATATATCCCATTAAATTTAAATGCGTATTTGC